AGGGCTATGGCTGGCCCCATAAGTGTAATATTTAGAGGGCTATGGCTGGGCCCATAAGTGTAATATCTAGAGGACTATGGCTGTTTCATACGTGTTTATCCAGAGAACCATGACTGACGCATGATGTTTATTGAGAGGACCACGACTGACTTATGATGTCTATCGAGAGGACCATGACTGAACCTTGGCTGTCTATCCATAGGGCAATGGCTGAACCCGACAGAGACTTCCATCCTACACTAATAATTGTTTTCTTTTTAAATAAACTTGGGGAACAGTAATGTAGGAAATAAAATCAGGAGAAAAATCATTTTAAAATTTTCCTCTTCAAAAAGTCGTCATAGGTTACGGAACTGCTGACCAGAAATTCGATATGTTTTTAACAGCCTTGGTTGAGAACGAACCAAACCACAGGGGGCTTGTAGAATACAGAATTTTTTTATTTTTTTTTTGAATATATGCATGAAGTTACAGCTGATGCAACTCAAGTAGTTGAAATCCAAAAGTGATTTAGGTTTTATAATTTAACAAAAAATAAATCATAAGTTTGTAAAATGTACTATTAAAAACTAACAAAAATGCTAAACTACACACATTGTATTAGCCTATTTCGTTTTTAATTATATTTCTACCAAAACGTTTAAGGAAAATATTTTTCGGTCAAAAATTTTTAAATGTATGTTTATTGTAGTTTTTAAAATATGTTGCTTTTTTTCCTTTCCATTAAATTAGCCCTTGGTCCTCTATTACAATCATTTATTTTTAATGAAGAAAAAAATCAACAAAATTTCCTTTGCGCCCCATGTGTTTCTTTTTCTGTTATAGCATAATCAACAGTAATATACGACCATTCGAGTTTTAAAAAAATGTTTTCTCAATAAAGTCGTTTGAAACAATTTTGAAGATCTGCTGTGGTTAACACATTTCTTTGCTTCATCCATTGGCAACTTTTTTTCACGCAGCAAGCGGTATTATAAGTGGAGAATCGCCATACCTTAAAACACAAGTTTATTTATTTGGTGGTCTTAGAGGTGGCGTAAATAAGGACCTAAATTTCGTTGTCTGGCTCAGCTTTAATGAAGTTGTTGTTTTTTTTCACGGCATCACCCCCCTTCCCAAAAAACAACAATTAACCACCCATCCCCTATCGTATTCCCCGGGGTTAAATTTAACTTGGTAACGTGCCGAAGAGGCCAGGAAGCAAATTAAACCCAAGTATTAAAGAAATGCAAAACTACTGAAGAGGTTATATTTCATTTAAAGCTGTTATTGTTTGTCAATAAGATCCACTCAAAAAAAGTTTTTGTTTCCCTTATCTGTGTGTGTGTGTGGGGGGGGGGTGGGGGGTGGGGGGCTGTTTTCTTATTGCAGGATTAGGAAATCATGTTTTAAACATGTCCAGCGATAGAATGTTACAATTTGTGAATAGCCCCAGAAATGTGTAAAAACTGGGGGAGCCACGGAATCATGGCAACGTGTAGAAGCCGATTTTAATAAACGGGTATTGTTGAACTGTACCCGGTACAGCCTGTACACAATCAGCCCTGAAGACATACGTTGGCTACACAAGGCGTTCGAACATGTTGCAGCCACCGGAACATTTATTTCCCCTAGACATTTAGTAGGCTAAAGTAGACGAACATATCTTTATTTAAAGCCATCGAAACGATTTTCTCTTTTACGATATAGGATTTATAGATACACTAGTCATAGCTCGCCAAAATGTTGGCGACAGCAATGAGTGAACTTCTTATCTAATAAAGTTACTTGACCAAACATGAACTCAGGTAACGCACATTTAGCAATCCAAATTTTCGCTTCACACCTTCCCACCATGATACGTCACCGCACACTTTTTTTATTTTAAGTCCATGCACTATATTTAATAGTCTGATGTCCTAAAACCTTTTAACCGAAAATTTGTTACACCATATTTTAATTGAGACAATTTAAGTTTTCTGAAAAGAAAAGAATATAATACGCACCAAACGCAGTTGTGTTACTTTAAAAAAATATCATTTAGCTAAGTTATCGGGAATTATTGTTTGCACGCTAGTGACCTCACTATTGAACCATACTTTCTTTCAAACATAAAGAGTTATTTGTAATGAGATCTCAGAACCAAATACGCATGTTAGGAAGCAGCCCGAAATGGAACAATCTACTAGAAGTGTAATTTATGTAAGAGACTGAGTACCAGGCATATCTTGCAATGGCATTCAAAGAAAGCCATTAGTGTTTTTCCTTTAATTTTCCTGTTTAGAGAAATACTTTTTATATAGACACTATATTTTTTTTTTTTTTTTGTCTGTTGTTTTATAGAGCTCAAATAAAAAATAAAATAAACGAATTTAGAGCCCCCTACCCGATACACAACATTGCAAAATAGTTGTAACAATTCAGAAACAATCGTGGGATTGCGAAAAACATGTCACCAAAAGATTATCGCAATCGCATGAATAGTATAGGAGCGCATACGGGACACACACGTATACACCCATACAGACTTTCATTTATATATATATATATAAACACAGCATTATAAACCAGTGATTCTTACTCTGTGTTCTTAGGACATTTTCATTTATTGAAGAAAAATGCAGGGAATCTGTGATTTTAAGTGGCTAAAAAGTTTAAAATGATTTTTTATCAAACATCTTTTTAAAAATAAATCAATTACGCACTATTGAAGCACAGCAACTTTGTTTAAAGGACTAGGAACGACTGTGAACTGGGTCAGGTAGAAGTATTAAATTATCGCAAAATAGGGAAAAACCTGAAAAAAATTACTCTTAAAAAAAGTACGTTTTGGCAAAAGGCCTTCTTCAAAAGAAGTGAACAATTTTTAAAAAAAAAATTTTCTAATTACTTAACCCAGGTGTCGTATACCCCTTTTTGAAGAGGGCTGGCGAGAATATCCCGCCTGGCAGTGAGGACCGTCTTATTAGATACCAATTTAAGGTGGTATACTTCCTCGTTTGGAGTGTCTCCCCAGATGTTTATTGAAGAAAAAACCACATATTTAAAACATGTAGGACACACATTTTTTAATCTCAACGTGCATTTATGAAGTTAGAAGTGGGTATTTTTATGACATAAATTACATTGAACTGATTGTGTCCCTAAATTATATTTTATTAAATGAAAAAAAAATGTAGCTGTACAGCGGTGTTGATCGCATTTCTCATCAGTGAAAGCATGAAACTTGTGATCTTCAGACACATGAATTTTCAGCTCACATGATCAAATTTGCGTCAAATTTTTGTATCAAGGCTCTATTTTGTTTATAGTTTCTTGTTTTTACACAAAAATGAGACTTTAATCCAATGCTCATTTGAAAGTTTGACACGTCTTTAAAAAAAATAAAATCAAGTGTATGAAGGATAATTAGTTGAGGCTTAAAATGTGTACTCTATTTAAAATTGTTTACACTTGCAAAAATTGTTGACACTTGCAAAAAGAAGCTCCCCTGCTAGATATTAACCACATTTTAAAAAACAATATACATTTTTTGTTTGTGTGGAAAATATCTTCTCACACAAATAGGTATTGGCAATGCTTACATGTAATCACGAGCATGTCTTGAGGGTTTCAGCCAGCCGTCAGCAACTTCTTTGAAGCACAGGTAAATGTCTTTGAACATGGACTGGGATATCTTTAACATTTAATTGTACTGCAAATCGATGCCTTAAATTTGATGTTCAGATGAAAGATCATCAAAAAAATAATCTTCTTTTTTTTTTCTTTTGTTCCCCCCCCCCCCACTGGTATCGAGATAACTGCCCTAAAACTGCTGTCCAAATCAGAAAGCACTCTTTGACATGTCTTGAGGGTTTCAGCCAGCCGTCAGCAACTTCTTTGAAGCACAGGTAAATGTCTTTGAAAATGGACTGGGATATCTTTAACATTTAATTGTACTGCAAATCGATGCCTTAAATTTTATGTTCAGATGAAAGATCATCAAAAAAATAATCTTCTTTTTTTTTTCTTTTGTTCCCCCCCCCCCCACTGGTATCGAGATAACTGCCCTAAAACTGCTGTCCAAATCAGAAAGCACTCTTTGAACAAATATTCCTGGGTAATGGTGTGTTGCACTGCCTGGACAGAGACTCTTGGGGATGCACCTGTTGCTTCTCACGCAAACTTTCACCGGACATTGAGTAAAGCGAAACCTCATAAAAAAAATATTGACGGGCTTAAATTTGAAATTAAAATGATCAAAATATGTTACGACGAAAATGACATATTTCATATACCAAGGTATAACATTGTTCCCTTTAGGAATTACAAGAATAAGCCGCCTCTTCTTGAGTTCTCTTTGGTGAATGACGGCAAAAATGCTGTCTTCACACACAAGTTGATTTAATATGACAGTTATGTTAATGAATTTGAAATTTTTTTTTTTAAGAAGGTGCTCGAACTGTAATTTGAAAATGTCTAGTGAGCCGGATACACGGAAGCCGGGGGCCGGAACCGGACCACGGGCCGTAGTTTGACGACCCATAAACTAACTGATGTGGTGGGTCGCTGCTTCCATTTCTCTATTTCTGTGGGTTCCACTACTTCTTAATTCTTATTGTCCAATCTTTATAGGCGACCAGTTGTAAAGGGGAGTTCCCGACAAAAGTCGGGTATCGGATCATCCGTAGGACCCTTGTGTGCAGCGTTCTCCGTGTCCACGCAATTTAAAAGGATTCCGTACACGGTGGTCAAGAGACTCCCTTATCATGTTACCTGGTTGTCAAAAGGCAACGTTGTTGTGTCGTGCTATGGGGTACTTTGTAGATTGTGACAATGGATGGTCATTTTTTAATTCCTGCTAGTGACAATGGATGTTTCTGTCAGGTAATGACATTTTTTTCTCTCTTTAAATGACAAGTAATGACAGTTTTTTGTCCGAGACAGTTACTGACAACATTTCTGCCAAGATGGCTCACTGAATAAACACAAACACAGCATCATATTTAGATAGACGAAATTGTATTGATATAAATAAAATTTGGCTATCTGGCTAAATCTACATAATAATGTATAGTAAGTAAAACAACTAGCAACTGTTTGTTTTTTTTTAAAAATACTTCAGAGGGTAATACAACCTGGAGTAAAATAAATGCAATTTTAAATACGCAAAAGCAAGGTAGGTATATTGTTTTACATTGACCTAAAGCATTTTACATCAATTAAATTAGTGTCTCCCAATGTCCCACCTCTCTAAACTAGAATAAACACGAAGAGATTCAACTCAGCTTATTGTGTGCGGAAAAATCAGCTGATTGTGTGCGGATAACTCAGCTGTAATTTTTTTTAATTGAGGCTACCGTAATCCCTCGTTCCCTTTACCTCATCCTTGCCGGTTCTTACACCTACTATCTTAATATTATTATTATCAAGCTCAACTTTAAATGTAAGAAGTAGCGCATTGTTGAAGAGACACGTCATCTAAGAGGTGTTCAAACTGACAGCTTAAATTTTTTTTTTGACACCCAGAAATAATATCATAATTCAAAATGTAAATCAAAAAGTTTGACGGAAAAAGAAACCATTTTTAAAAAAACAAATTTTAAGTCTAAGGTAAACAATTTCTGTTTTATAAAGTGTGGAGGTCAAAGGTCATAATATAATGATGTGGGTGTCAAATATCATGCTACAAACAGTGGTAAAAGAGTAAAAAAAAGTATCACATTTCAATTTGTCCACAATACAATTTAGAGAATAACTCCACAACATAAAATTGAAACATCGATGCAAAAGTGATCAATGAAAATAAATTCAAATGAAAGTTTCGCAGGACTTTAAAAAATGTGTACCAAACTTTGACAGAACTTCAAATCGTTTGATCGAAAAGAAAAGTTCATTTTATGCTTTGCATCATTAGAAACTTAGAGCCATCAGATCAAAACGGCAACTAAATATTAGCATAGGCGATATTTGTAAAGTATTAATGGACACGTGGGAAGTCATGCAGAGTTAACCGTACGATACTCCGACCGAAACCGCAATTATTACAACGGCCGCAATAAAAATCATGAGGGAAATCTCAACCTTATGCATGTTCCACAGTGTTTCACATGACGTACCGCCACGCCCCCCAATGATGCGCCTCTCCTCAGAGTTCTTGATGTGTTTTTCAAGTCGCTGTTCGGTAATGGACATCTCGCACTGGTTCATCTTGGACTTGACGTTCATCTCAACCACGCTAATCTGTGTTAAAAGGGATTTCACTATTCCCGTACCTTGATCCACGTTCTCCAGGCGCTCCCGGTGACTTTGAAGTTGCCGCTGCATGGATAGTAGATTTTGTTTGCATTCCTCCGGTTGCCAATCCATGCGCCTGTCTATGTCTCTCACGAGTTCATTGGCTCGGCTGACAATATCATTCGTTTCACTTTGTAATAAAGGGATTTGACTTTTCAATATCAGTCTCTTTCGTTCGTTCTCCGCCTTGTCGAAGTCGTCCTTTGTGTAAGGATAGTGTCTGACGGCCTTCACCTTTTCCATGAGAATATGACGTTGAGCTCGCTTTTTATTCTCGTCTTTTTCCTTGTTGTTAAAGAGCACGCACCTGTTATCGCACTCTGTGATCAAAGTTTGAATGTCCCCTGTTTGTTTTTTGAACCAGTCGTCGAAAGTCGTGCCGTCATTATCCTCATTGTCCATCTCAAAATTGTCCCCGTGCGTCATGACAATGACGCCCCATTTCTTCAGGACGTCCTGACCAAACAAGGACTTGATCAGTTCCACCGCGTCCTTCTCTTGCTTGGTGAACCGCACGCCGTACTTCAGTACCAGGATAATCGCTGTGAAACTCACCACCCATCGGAACACTGTGTCCTGAATCTCTTTAATCAGCGAAGTTATCTCCTTCCTTGAGTCGGAGTCGGCGTCCCCGATGCCCGTTCCATCAAAGATTTTGACGTTCAGCCCATCCACCTCGGCCTCGTCGTGTTTCATGACGTCATCGTTACTGGACGTCGTCGGACTCCGAGGTTTAAACGCAGTTTTATTTAGAATGGTGTTTCCCGTTGAACTCTTCCCATTACCTGTCCTCCCCAACAAAAGAAGACTTTGGGTGTCTTCCATCTTGTTGAATCTGTAACAACAAAACAAAAATTGATTTGTTTACTTTATAGAAAGACACGATGGGTAGAAGAAGACCTGGCAAATGACAACAACAGAAAGAGAATGTGTATGCCGAAAAGACTGCGACAGCCAAAAACAGTTCAAGGCAGAAGCAGTCTTGGATGGTTGCAGACATATGTAGCCCAAAGGAAGTTGTACACATATCTATATTTTTTTTATTGCTTCAACTTTCGGTCGAAATGTATTTATACTTTAAGCCATCTGGCCGAAAGTTATTGATACTTTCGCTCGTGTAGCAAAAGTCGACATTTTTAAGTCACTGCTGCACAGATCGTAGCTCATTTTTGCGGCGTTCTAACGGCTGCCAGATCATGCGCCTGTCAGTGTCGCTCACAAGTTCGTTGGCTCGGCGAACCATATGATCCGTTTCGCTTTGTAGTACTTATGCTTAGCTAACTTTGCACTGTCTGGCAGAGCTCATGGTCATTACAAACCTAATTCAACAGTTTCTTAATTATATGAACAATCGCGATCCTCTTGGTAGACGTGAAAAGCAGTGCAGGGATCTCTAGAGAACTTCAGAAACTTGTTATGCTTTTTTTTAATGTGAATTTTACTTGATCTTTATCATCTTTTACTTCAAAGGGAAATTTCTTTACAATGATCGGCCTAGATTCTTATCACCGCTAAACAGTGAGTTCACTAAATCGATATTCAAAACTATGATTCATCACGTCAGCCGTAAGAATGCATAAAAAGCTTAAAAAGTCTAAAATTTTGATCAACTTTTGACAATGAGTACCCCCCACCATTTAATTTATCAACAACCGCTTTTCAAAATTCTTGGAAAAATCCTGGGTGTGCCTTGCCACAAAATGGAAAATGTGATCAATAGGTCATGGCACTAACAAGTTTTAAAACAACTGCCTTGGTCACTGGAGAAATTCAAAACCAGGAACAGTTAACGCAACTTTAATCAATCATTATTTTCCCAATACATATCAAATAAACACATAGTTTGTCTACTGCTTTGTTAAATTCTTTCATCAATATCTGTACAATATGCAAAACAAACTTTTGAAGTTTAAAAAAACAAACTTTTATGAGCTTTTACTTTCAAAAAGTTTGCCACGAACAAAGTTAGACATGAAGTAAATTAATTGCTTCATAAATCTATTAGCAAATTTTAAGATGAACACTCGATATGAAAGAATATAATAATGAGACCTACAATCGAGAGATAATTCATTTTATATCAACAACATACCCTAATGTAGATTCGAGTTCCGCGTCCACCTGTGAAGACTTTCAACAAGCTCTGTTATGGAACACTGCAAAATAAACATTATGCCAAGCCTGGCTGCGAATTGTATTGAGGTGACATTGGACGGAACCTCAAGGCAGCGGTTCTCAGAGTATGACGCCTGAAACTTTTATAACTGGAAGAAAATCTCTTAGAACATTGAAGGTACTTAAAATGTAACTTAAACTGAATGATATCATCAAGCCGAAGCCTGGAGACTCTTGTAGGTGTGTGCTCATTGTATGCAATGTATAAGACACATTCTCAATTACATCCTAATTTTGATAATTAGGACCAGAACTGTGACCTTGACTTGCCCCCCCCCCAAACCCAGAACCAAAAGAAACAAAAAAACAAAACCATGCATCCGTCAGTGACTTCCCTTTTTTCTCAGAATATTCCCAGGTCCGTTCGGAGTTTAATTTGAGAACCACTTTTCATGTTGTCCCATTCGGAGTAACCACGACCTTCGTTTTTAAAACACCGGGACAAATATTTGACCTGACCTACTGTGAAAACCCGTCGCTAAAACTTCGCCCCGCCTGGTTAAGATGCGGTTGAACAAGTTTTCATTTTCCTTGAAAAGCCCAGAAGGAATCAGTTCTAAGAATAGTAGCTGAGGCATAGAGTTGCGTTGTTGTTTTTTTCCTCCAATTGTTGATGACGTTACAACTATTGACATTTAACGCAGGGGTCTTTAAACAGATCTTGACGAGGGCCGGTAAAAATATCTCGACCGGTCCCGAGGGGCGTCTTGTTTGATACTAATGCATGGCGGTCTAACCAATGTGTTCGGAAAATCTCCCATGCTAGACACACATTTTTTCCATCTCAAAATAAAGAGTTAAGCTGGAAACTGGTAGTTTTTTTATCAAATTGTGTGCCTGAAATTCAATGAGTATATCAATAAAATGTTGTGAGATGGAACACACATTTGAACAGCGGAGTAAATATTCTTTGACATCAGTGATGCAAGTGAAACTGGTGATTTTCTGACACATATACTTTGGTCTGAGAATATGTACTCTAATTAATTTTTTTATTTCCATTGCTCATCATAAAGCTGCTCTTCTGCTAGATATTAAACATATTTTTATTGCAATATTTTCTCACACAAATTGAGAGTGGCAAGGTTTACATGAATTCACGAGCTTGTCATAAGAATATCAGCCACCCTGGAGACAAGTCTTGAGGTACCGGTATAGTAGTTTTCCTTCTTTGTAACTAAATGTCTCTGAACATTGATTTGGATGGCATATCGATATTTTCAACATTGAATTGGAATGCAAGGAACATTGATTGGGATGGCATATCGATATTTTCAACATTGAATTGGAATGCAGGGAACATTGATTTGGATGGCATATCGATATTTTCAACATTGAATTGGAATGCAGGGAACATTGATTTGGATGGCATATCGATATTTTCAACATTTAATTGAAATGCAGACCAATATTTTTTCAACATTGATTTGTACTGCAGACCGATGTCTTTACTTTGACGTTAAGGTGGAAAGTCATCAACAACATACAATGTTTTCACACCTTTTTTCCTATTGGCACCGAGATCGGTATAACTGTCCTGAAATTGCTGTCACAAATCAGAAAGCACTACTTGCACGCACAAATACTCCTTGCAATGTGCGTGTTGCACTTCTTGCACAAATACTCCTGGGGATGCGCCTGTTGCACTACTGGCACAAATACTCATGGGAATGGGTATGTTGCACTCATTGCGCAAATACTCCTGGCAATGTGTATGTTGAACTCCTGGCAAAAATACTGCTGCGAATGCTCATGTTTATAATTTTTAAAAATTATTGACTGCCTTAAACTTCACATTTTTCACATTGAGTTCAGACGAAAATTCCTTATTTTGTGTACTAAAGTATAAAAATGTTCCATTTAAAACAAGAAGCTGAATCTTCTGGATTTCTATTGGCGGATAATGACATAACTCCTGTTTTCAAACAGAACTTCATTCATTATTACAGTCATGTTGTTAATGAATTTGTAAATAAAAAATAGGACATAAATGTAACTTAACAAGCTTCTAGCAGGGGACCGGATCCGGAACACAGGCCGTAGTTTGCAGACCCTTAACTGATACGGTGGTGCTTCGATTCGTTTTGTCTGTTTCGAGGGTGCTCCACTACTTCTTATTGCCTTAGCGTTATGAGCGACCGATTCCAAAGGAGAGTTCCCTAATGTAGACTACAAAAGGCAGTAACGGATCATCCAAAGGACATGGTGTGCAACGGTTTCAGTGTCCACTTAAATTTTAAGGGATTCTGTACACGGTGGTCAAGAGATTTTCTTATATTGTCACCTAGTTTTCAAAAGGTGACGTTGTTATGTCGAACCATGCCCTACTTTCTAGCTGTTGACAATGGATGGTAATATCTTACTAACTGATAGAGACAATGAATGTTTTCCGTCAAAGACAGGTAATGACAAGGTTTTTTTTTCGTCAATGAAATGACAAGTAGTGACAAAGTTTTGCCCGAGACAGTTAGTGACAACATTTCTGTCAAGATTGCTATCTAAATGAACACAAACTCAACATCATATTTCACATACATACAATTTTATTTACATCAATTAGATTTGGGTATCTGGCTACATATTTAGCTGTAAGCTACACAATAAAGTAGAGTATGTGAAACCTTTAGCAACTGTTTTTCAATAACCCAATGAGTATAATAACGGGAATCAAATAAATTCAATTTTAAATATGTAAAAGAAAGGTATATAGTTTTACATTGACCTACAAATATTGAATATCACGTAAATTAGTATGTCCTATTGTCCAAACCATTGTAAAATACAAGACACGTGCAGAGATTCATCTCAGCTGACTGTGTGCGGATAAGTCAGCTGTACTTTCTAAAAATTTAGGCAACCCCATCCCCCCTTCCTAAACCTACTCCTTTTCACATCGACCTCTCTGTGTTTTAAACCACTTGTCATATAAGTATGAAGTTCAGCTTGAATGAAAGAAGCATCGTGGCGTAGCAGAGACAGGTCATCACTGAAGCGGTGTTCAAACACCGATGTTACTTCTTTGACACCCAGAAATAATATCCTATGCAGTTCATTATTCAAAAGGTGGACGAAAATAAAAAATTATACAAAATAAAATTGAAGACTAAGGTATGCATTTGTTCAAAAGTGTGGAGGTCAAAGGTCATAATAGAATTATGCGGAGGACAATAAATATCATGTTAAAAACGCTGGTACGAGAGTAAGAAACATCACATTGAAATGTCAAAACAGTTCAAGGTAGAGAGTAAGTATATGAAGAAAAATATCATAATTTGCAAACATCAAAGCAACAGAAATAAATTAAAACGTTTTAAAATATATTTTGACTAGGCTTTAAAATACGTGAATGATATTTTGACTGGACTTCCAAAAAAATGTGTGCTTAAAAAAGAAATTACCATGTTACGTATGGCAAAATTAAAAATATAAAGCCAAAAGATCACAATGGCTACCTAATTTTTACATGAAAGTTGCAGGTTATTTCTTAATGGACATACGAACAAGCCACGCGGAGTTAACCACGTGATAGAACAAGCCAAAGCGCAAGTAGAACAAATAATACCAGTAAAAAACTCCCAATACCGATCATAACCTTAGGCTTCTTCCACAGTGCGCTCAATGACGTGCCGCCACGCTCTCCGAAGAAGTGCCTCTCCTCGGA